AAAAAAAAAAAAAAGAAGATTTAATTTAATAATATAAATTAAGATAAATTAAAGCCTATTATTGAATAATATATATATATTTACCAAAATGTTCATTTTATATATGAATTTTAAATATTATAACCAAAAGTGTTGTTGTAGACCATAATTCGCTGATATCTTGTAAATAAAGCAAAATATATTTTTTTGATGTCACCTGTAGTAGACACACAATAGTATGTCAAAGACTGTTACCTTAAAACTAGGGAGAATATAATAAATATGAATAATATCAACAATGTTTGGTAGAGAAAGCCTTTAACAAAGACCTATTGGACCAGTTGTCACAAACAACGTTAATTATGTTATATCATGTGACAGCTAATCTCTAGCGTCTTTGCTTTACTCACCCCTTGCTCGATCAAAAGGCAAATCGATAGCCTTTTGTCAATTGCCATTCTATTATGTATATATATATATAGTTTTTTATAACTTCTTAAGGTATATTAAAATATAAAATTATGTTGAAATACCAGGCTATAATTCAATATACAGTTAAAATTATTTGTTCAGTTGGGATATATTGTTCATATGTGCATAAATCAGTGTCAAATATCTAATAGTACAATTTTTAGTAATTACATCAGTTATCGTTTAAAAGTCATTATCATGAGAAAATTATTCATATAAATCAGAACATTTTTCTTAGGACTACCCCTTCAGTTTTTATCAAGTTGTTAGCTTTTTTTTTTAAAATTTCTACGCATAAATTAAAACAACTGATCCGTTTATAAATGCGCATGCTTAATAATCACTTCAATTTATTTAAATAATTATACGAAAAATCCTAAAAACTTTTAACAACTAGAATTTATTTATATTTAATTTTAAATTTATATGTAAAATAATAAGAAATTATTTAACCAAAAAAAAAATGGTTTCCGTTACTGAAATCAAAACGGTTTGACTTCATGCAAAACATTAGGTGTTGTTTTAAATTTAGCCAAAGTTCATAAACAACATAATAAATCTCGTTTAATTATTTTAAAAATATAGTTTCCATTATAAAATAAATGTTTAGATTCATCATTAACTAACTGAAAAAAAAATACGAGTAATTGTTCATTAAAGTTTGAGGCCATATAGCAATTTATAAAAACTCAGAGTACTATTTACCTGATAATTTAACATCAAAAAAATAAAAAATATCTTAAGTTTAACAGAAGAAATATGCTTATGAATTAGAACCTAAAAAAAGTAACAGTTGTGAAGCTGGGGCTCCAGGGTGAAGCCCTGGAGACAATGCTTCCGGGTGTGTAATACTCCGTTGGCTGTGGTTCACGAAACTTCTTGTAATCTTGTATCTTCTTGCGTTCTTAAATTGTTGTTTTTTTGTGTAATTAGTTGTGGTATTCGTTTTAATTGATAGTGGTGATATTCATAGTATATATTATAATTGCCTCCTACGGCTTATTCTGTTGTTCTCGAAGTTCGTTACCACTACAAGATTTTTGCTTTTATTTACATTTCATAGGGTAAATTTATATGTTAATGTTAGGTTACAAAGTTAGACTTATTTTTAAATTTTTTATGTGTTTAAATTTATTTTACAATCAAAACTAATTTAAGTTAACCTCCTAATTTATAGAATAAAAACGTTGCTAAAAATTCTACAAATGTACAATTTGCTATCTCACTTTTAACTAGACAATGCATAACAACTTATATAAAAATTGTGATAACGGCACTATTTTATAGTTATTATACAATATAAAAATATTCATGTATTTAAATAATACTTATTATATCTAGTCTACTAGTCCAACTGTACAGAACGTAAAAATCAGATTCGGGTTTCTATACGCGGAATAAAAAATAAGCAATTAGTCTATGACAAAAAGTTGTAAATTGATGTAGCTAATCTTGCGCTTAGTAGTCAATGACAGTTAGATTAAATATATATTATCTAGTAATATGTTATTACGTTATAATTTAATGTGTACTGAAATAATAAAAATGAAAGTTATTAGACAGTTTGCCGTGAAAACGGCAGTTTTGTTTAAAGTTGTTAAGTGGATCATCATTAATGTGTCTGGGTACCGACCTTTTTTCAGGGGTCGAATATAGGCAATTTTGCGGTTTTTACATGTTACGCAGTGTCGTTGTGTGAGAAATAAATGATTATTAGTGTGAGTGTCCATTATTGGGAGTATTTTCGTCGTGTTATAGTCGATAACAAAACCGGTTGTGTACCTGCCTTACTTTTTGATGCAATACGATTATGTTGATAACGACACACGTTTATTTTATGTAGTATAAAAACTATAGTTTAGCACCAGCCTCACTGTAAATACTAATAGACGTGTCATGATTTCACAAATTTTAATTGATTATAAAAATAATTAAACTATTTATTTTCGACGATTAAGAAAAACTAAATATTTACAGAAAACAAGTTAAATCATATGAGATCCACATCGATTATTTTGAAGTTATAAAACTATAAAAAAACTAATTTTAATTATAAGAATTCAATTTACAAAATTACATTATTTACACACTAAAATATTTAAGTTTTATAAGCCTGTTCTTATGGGAAGTCCTTTATCATTCACTTATCCATTTTCAATAGCAAACTTAGTTTCTTCTTTCCCCGCTAATTCTATCGAATCCCATGCAGTTTTTTCAGTTTGCTTAGCAATATAATCATGATATTTTTGATACGTCTTATTACTCATACATGGCATATTTAGTACAGCAGAAAAGAGTTCTAAATTTGTAAACCCCTGACCAATATTCAAAGTAGCAGTAACAACTACAATATTTATACTAAGAGAATCATTTAATTTGGGATATTCTGAATAAATAATTTCTTTTTTTTTTGCAAAAATTATATTCAAAGTGAAATTCTGAAAAAAAACCACTTTGAGCTACAGTTTTAAATACAAGATTTGAAAAATTACAAGCAAATAACTCGTGTTTAATTGATTTCAAACTATTAAAAAATATTCAATATTTATTATTCTACGACTGTTTAAATTATACCTAAAATAGTTAAGTATGTGTATTAATTTCATTGTAAAATAATACTATAAAAAATAAACCAACTCTTTTTGAATAATTGGTTAACTTCTGAAGAAATTTTTTTACAAGTATCAAGAGTTTATGCACTGGGTGACAATGGTAAAAAATCATAAAAACTATCATCTCCAATTTTTCTAAAGAAAAAAAAAATGTTTGTTTCTAATAAATTATATTTATAATTCAGATATGTTTTCAGAATTCTTATCGCATCTGAGTTTCGTCATACTGATGGAACAAAAACGGGTTGTTTTTGACTAAAAAGCGGTCGGTACCCAAACGCCTTAACATTATTATTTTCTATAAACTTTTATAAAATTGTTCTATTTTGTATTATCAGTATGTAATTAACATCTGCTACCATAGTTTCGAATGTTTTTAATTCAAAACAAATACTTTCATTACTTTAAAGTGTTTTTATATAATAGATTTGAAACTGAATACCATAAATCTTAAAAGGATAAAAAATACAATGAGCTTAAAAAGAAGTAACAGTTGTTCTGACATAACTGGTAATGCGACATTACAGTGCTTGGCTAGTGGCACTAACTATCCTATTGGAGAGACTGAGGTAGATTTTTTCTTTAGGAAATAAAATCAATTTAAGTGTTAAGATGAACTTATTAAAAATACATATATTTTTATATGAAAATAATATCTATATTAACTTTAAGCCATCTTAACTTTGTTTTATATTTTACAATATACTTCATTTTTCTTTAAAATGGTTAAATTGATATATTATGACTCTTCAGTTTGTTATTGGACGTTCTCCTGCCTGTTCACTTGTAATTGAAGAAAAATCTATTTCAAGACAACATTGTTTTATAAATAAATCCAATGGCCAATATTTTATTTCTCACAATGTAAGACTTAAAATTTTTATTGCATGTTTATATTAATTTAGCTATCAAAGAGAGTAATTAATTCTAAGTTGATCAACAATATCTGTACTACAGGGAACAGATAATGAAACTTATGTAAATTGTGTGCAAATTTCTAATGACCAAAATGATTTACAAGTTTTAAATCATGGAGATGTCATTTCCTTTGTAGATGGGAATGGAAATATTAATTATCTGTACAGATTTATTTCACAAACATGTACAAATAAAAAATTGAAGTAAGATTATTCTTAAGACATCATGTGTGTAAGTAATTTGTAGAATATGGATAAACAATACACTAATATAATCAAATATATTATTCATTTTATTAAACGCCATCAAATAAATTGATTAATATAAACACTATGTATAAATTAAAAATATCTGAAAAATATTATTTTAATTCATTCTTTTAATACATGTCAGTTATTTTTATTATAAACTTTCTAATCGGTTAATATGATAACTACAAAGAGTATGAACAATATTTGTTTATAAAACTTTAAATATAGATTTTGCATTGACTCGGCACCGCCCGTAGCTCGAGGCTGGCGCTCACCCGTGTCTCTCGCAATATTAGCCGTCCAGCTATTAATATGACAATCGGTTGTCTCCCCGCCCTCGACACCGAGATAAGGTCGCCTCCGACGAATATGGATAACTGATATTGCGTTCTGTTTCGGTTCCAACGTTGACCTTAACTGGTTTGCCTTTTTCTTGTGTGCTGTTTGTGTTTCCGTGTTTTTTTTTTGGATTGCGGCGAGTGTGCTCATTACCGATATTACCGACGACAAAAGGGTAGTTACCCATTGTTACATTCGTATAACAGTGTTCGAATTTAGGAAAATATCTAATATTATAAGAATCAAATATTGTCTTCCGACGTTGTTTCTTTGTTTTTACTGTTGTGCTTGTGTAAATATATATATACACATAGACATAAATATATAATATATATATATACCTCGAGTGCCGTACCATTTGGATACGCGTTAACTGGCTGACCGAAGAGGAATCTCAACCGGCCGAGAGAAGTTAAGGTAAGAGGCTTTGAGCCGATTCAGTTTTATTTCTAATTATATTAGATTTTAGTTTTAACGATGAAGTCTCCTTTACAAATTTGATAGTTCATATAGTTATTTGAACGGATTTCACTGGTGACAGCAGTGAATTTTTACCTGGGTTATTCACAGTTACACGTTAGAGGGATTAGATTGTTAGCCTGGTCCCTGGGAAAATTTTCTTTTATAAAAATAAAGTCAGAGCAGTTTATCTAATATAATCCGCAGCAAGTATTGTCGTCTAAGGCCCGTTTCACACTAGCACGTATATTCTTGTACGCGCAGCGTTTTTTTTTTGTTTTGTTTCACACTATACCGCGTTTTTGCTATAGCGATTTCTATTTATTTTCAAAATGAATGTGCATCAGATAAGATGTGTGTTGGCTTTTGTGGCCTACAGGCACATTTTAAAAAAGAATACTTCAAAAATAAAAAAAAATAGGCGATTTTGGGTTCACCCGATGCTGGTTCAAAGACCTCTTAATGGTGCTTTTGCAACCCTTTTTTCTGAATTAAGAGACAACGAAGAGAAATGTTTTGATTATTTCAGAATGTCGTTAAAATCTTTTGATGAACTATTTTCAAAGTTAGAAAAGGGGCTAACCGTAAATAGTAACTTTCGCGTACCTATTTCTCCGATAGAAAGGTGTGCATAACATTAAGGTAAGTAATAAATATTACTTAAAATAAATTATTTAAGGAGCTAATTTTATAATAACTACATAATAATTATCAATAAAATGACGTGGAATTGATGTTTTTTCTATAGGAAAATATTAAGGGTTTAATAAAAGTAATTTTTTTTACTTAAAAAAAATTAATTAAATTGACAATTCACATTTTGAAATTTTTATTATTAAAACACGATATATGGCGAGTAAAATCTAACAGTATTTGTAATTACTCAGAAATCATACTAATGTTTTTTAAATAAATACTGACTTAATATTTTAATTAGCTCATATTTATAGATACTTAGCATCGGGTAATTCATTCACAGACCTTCATTACTCCTATAGAATGGGAATATCTACTATTAGTAAAATAGTAGAAGATGTATGCAGCGAATTATGGGGACTTAAATCTTAAATTATGCCTTTGCCGGATCAGAAAAAATGTAAAGAAATTGCTTTGGGTATTGAAAACGATGCTAACTTTGTAAATTGCATCGGCGCTTTGGACGGAAAACATATTCGCTTAATCAAACCAATCCAGAGTGGATCAGATTTTTATAATTACAAACATTACTATTCAATAGTTCTTATGGCTATTTGTGATGCAAATTATTGTTTTACTTTTATTGATGTGGGAGCTCAAGGAAAGTTTTGTGATTCAACAGTCTTTAAAAAAACAAAATTTTACAAAAAACTAGAAGATAAAGAACTTTTTGTACCACCACCGAAACCCTTACCTTGCCAATCAAATCCATTACCGTTTGTAATAGTTGCTGATGAGGCTTTTGGTGTATCTCAAAGCATACTTAGACCATATGCACGAAGCAATTTGAATTACAAAAAAAAAGTATTCAACTATCGCTTGTCTCGAGCAAGAAGATATATAGAATCAACTTTTGGAATACTTTCTAACAAATGGCGAATTTTCCATAGATCGATGAACACAAGCGTAGAACTTTCTATAAAAATTGTTAAAGCCTGTTGTATATTGCATAATTTTGTCAGGAACAGAGATGGATTTAGATTTGAAGACACATTAAGTATTAATGGTTTTGAAAGTCTTAATGACTCAATTGATGTTTATAATAGATCAGGTAATATATTAAGGGACCAGTTTGCCAATTACTTTATAAGCGAAGCTGGTAAAGTAGAATGGCAAGATAGAATGATTCATTAATTCGATATAAGTATGTGCTCAATAAGTTTATGTTAAATGTCTTCTTAGTACTACTAGTAATGGTCTTTGATTTTTATTCTTTTGGTAAAAAGTTTTTGCCACAAGAATTATTTTTACTAAAAAATAACATTTTTGTATAATTAACATTTATTAAAATTGTTCTTAGTATAAACATACAAATAAAAAATTTTAAAAGTAATATTTTATACATTTTTATGCTATTCATTGTTGGGGAACCTTCCATTTTTCATATGTTTAACACTGGAAACGAACAAAATAACTAACAAAATAAAAATTATAAAAAATAACAAGAATAACGAAAATAACTTTTCATTGATTAATGCCCTTTTTTATTTATTCAGCATTTAACTTATAAGTTAAAAATCAAATAAAAAATTTGATAAATAAAAACAATAATTTTTTTAAACACAATTGTGTTTAATTTATTTCATTTGTTGATTGGTGGCTTGATTGAGGTGGCTATTGGCCTCCTTCTGCTGGAGTTCCTAACGACTGGTAACTTTGATAGCTATTTACTTCAGGAGGAGTAGAAGAAGACGTAGAGAGAATAGATGACGTGTTATGATTCCATGGACCATAGTTAACTGGATATTGTTGAGAAAAAAAGTCGTAAGGTTCTTTGTATGGAGCTCTTACATTACTTGTATTTTTTATTGTCATCATAAGGCTNATGTATTTTTAATTGTCATCATAAGGCTTAAGACTTGACTTCTAAATAATAGTTTTTGGTCATTATTAAATAACAACACATTGTGCTACTTCTCTAAAGGTTGCTGCTCTAATATCCCTGTCCTTATATCTTTCATCCCTTGAATTCCATAAATTTGGCCTTAATTGAACTTCATTTATTAAAATTTCAGTGTCTATAATGAGAGTCATTTTTCGAGAACTTGCTAGGGATAGAAGTCATGACAAAATGACGAAAAAANGTAGAAGTCATGGCAAAATGACAAAAAAATACAAGACGTGTACATCGTACGCATCAGTGTGACACATGTTCATTCATATCAATGTTTGGTCAGCGCGCATATCATACGCGCTAGTTTGAAACGGGCCTAAAAGTGTTGGTTACAGTTTGTTATAAAGACCTTATTGATATGGACAAGAAGTGAATTTCCGGCCGATAGTTACAGTCTTTTGGTAGATAAAAATAGTATATTTTCGTCTGACCTTGTCAAAGCGGCCGATTCCCAGGTAACCGTTATTATTATTGTTCACTCGCTGCCATATCATATACGCCAGCCCCGTACCATCTTATCGCGGTACTTCATTACAACAAAAGCAATAATAATAACGCTTGTTTTCTACTGCAGTAGCAAATTTGACCGTAAACGGAGATATTGTTTATCTCCGCTATTAACGTAAAATACATTTGATTATTAAGGTTTGTAAATAAACATATAATATTCACGGTCAATATGTCGGGGAAATCATTAGCACAAATGTGAATTGCGCTGAATTACGTCGCGAATGCGCTTTCAGACGGCTACCATGCTACGCGACGAAACCCAACATGCTAATTGTGCTAGAGGAAAACATACGTAGCGAAGGGAGGAATCCAGCTACCGAAATTTTACCGCCCCGTACGCCGGTCGATAGCGAAATTCCGGTCCGCGAACCCGAAGTGAGGGTTTTAGACAACTCCACGGACCGTGTCAGCGAACTATCAGCGGCCCGGCGTAGCACCTTTACCGGAGGACACATCCGGTGAACCTCGCGCTACGCACATCAGACGACGAATCCGATGTCGAACGACCGGGGGAAATTACGCGCGCGAGCGGTCAACTAGGCGCGCCGTACGTCGAGGACGTGTACGTTGCCCGCTCGATAGCGCACGCGGCAGAACAAGTCTGGGCGATCCGACAGAACATTGGCGACATTTCGAATAACGCGCGGATCTATAACTGAACTAGAAAGGTCGCTGTCGCGTATGTCAATGGAACAGCGACAGATTTCAAACATGTTGGAGCGAATCAGTCAAAATATGCTGCCGTCCCCACATGTTGCTGCACAACCGACTATTCGTCAAGCTAACGTAGAGCGAAATGATAGTCGACGAACGGACGCGCATCGCGTTACATTCGGTGCATCGGGAGCGACGGACCCGACGCGACACTACACGAGCGCCTCGCGGACGTCGAAGCGCAAGAAGCCCGCAACATGAGGAGACGGTCGTACGGACAAGCGTCGCTACCACGGATGTGTAGTACGGGTTGGCAAGACGAACATTATACGCGCACTCATACATATGAGAACGAGTCGACCGATTTTTCGTTTACGCGCCAACCACGGGAGGGGCAATTCAACACAACCGACGGTCGTCGGTCTTTCAATGATTTGTTGCCTAATGTAATGAATCAAAATAGAAGTTTCGAAATCATTCGAGAAACTTCTAGAATAATCTTTACACAAATAATTATCAATTTTAAATACTTTTTTTGACCGACTATTATTTTATTACTTTTTAGCAAATACATCGTTCATTTGGAGCGATGTTTACATTAATGTCCATCTTTTTAATTACCATAAGCGTATCTGTGGCGCCGAACAGACGGCAAGATTAAATAGTCACCAGTGGTGGACATACTTTAGTATGTCGAAGACCGTTACCTTAAAACTAGAGAAAATGATTTAAAGGAAAAAAAAAATAAGATACACGTGAATATTGAAGATATTCACGCAATAAAAAGATTTTTGTTGATTAAGAAAATTAATGGGACTTTATTAAACTAATACAATTAAGTTAATAGTGGACATAACCCGAAGGCAAAAACCACTCTGCAAAGAAAGGGACAAAAGAGAAAAAGAAAAAAAAAAATTATTAAGACAAAAAAAAATTAACCTATAACTTTTAAATATCACATGAAGTGTCTTCCGCGTCGGAACAAGTCCGTGTACTCCGGACGCGGCGGATAATTTTTGTAATCTGGCCGGCCGGACCGTACTTGGGCATTGCGGGAATAATATATATATATATATATATATATATATTAAATATACATGACACACCACTGACCAATAACCTTATAAACAGCAATGCTAAAATTATTTATAGCTCATAAAAAATAAATTTATAAAAGAAAAAGAGGCTCAATACATTATATTAAATAAATAAAAGAAAAAACAAGAATACGATACCCAGTCCCGGATGGGACTCATCCTAAGATGGGGATCTCGGCCCCGGAAATGGCCGACGCCTTGCTGAATTAGTACATTATTTTTATAACACGAACACGAGAAAAAAAACTATAATTGGCTGCACGCACACAGCAAAACATACCACGACGGTGGTTCAAAGGGAAGAGAGCACGAAAAAAAATTCCTACACACCGGGCGTGACACAACGACGACGAACCCGTTTGGAAGAGGGTATCGGCTTAACGATTTACAAAATATACAACAGATAAAATTATGAACAATATTAGAATTATACAGGTATGGACAGTGGTGGCCAGTGTATGTGTCATATAGGGAACGATTGTTAAACTGATAAAGAATATTGTGTGTATAGCGTTCACCTTGACAGCAACAGTACAGTTTTCTGATTACACGGCCGGATATAACGTACGCGCGCCCATTAGCAAAGCAAAACAGTAATCTATCAATATCATAAAATTCACATTTTGTCACGTTACAATTTATTTAAATTAACTTAAAATATCGACGTCAACAAGGAGCATCACAATTCACCATCTATCTACGAATCCATTTGGACATCAAGGTAAGTGTAGTCTTAAGACATGCACTATATTCATGTAATATTAAGAAATAGGACAGAGTGGGTAAGATGTAGGATTAAGATGATATGAATGAATCTAACACAATCCAAATAACTTATAATCCCTTTCCTACTATCTCTATCTATCTTATCGCTCCCCTTATTTTATTTTTTATTACCTTACCACGACCTACTCACCATACGCGCCTGCTTACCTGAATATTACGGGAGAAACGCTGAGGACCCACGGGAGTTTCTAGACAGAGCGGAGGATCTACTCTGTCAGGGCGGTATACACTCAACCGCGTGGGTGAACATCGTCGTCCCGTTTCTGAACGACAGGGCAGGCGATTGGTGGCGAGCTATTAAATTAAACAATATGCCTTGGGCGGAATTTAGGTCCGAATTACTCGAGGAGTTCGACAATATTGATATCCGGACGGCGCTCGAGACGGACTTAAAAACGACGCGACAGGGCCCCCGACAAACGTTAACCGAGTTTATTATTCATAAATAACGTTTGGCGGCCGCGCGAGTACGTTGTGGTTTACCGGAGCAACAACTTGTGCGACAGTTAACGGGGCGTTTACGGGACGATTACCGCGCTATGATACGGTTAATGCACCCACAGCACTTATCGGAATGGAGGGGACGCCCCGGTGAATTCGGATGTAATCAGGGTATCGGAGTTCGAACACGCTGCCGACACGAACGACCAAAGCGCGAGTCAGGTGTTCGAAATTTTTTCGGGCACGGTGGGGGAGGGGGTATCAGTCGATCCGGCAAGTCCACTAATGGCAGTTAACACTGTCTGTGGGCAAACCGACGTCGCGGTTAAAAACCAGCTGCCCCCCGTTCGAACCGTAAACCACCCGAGTAATGGCCAACGAAAATGCCCGCCTAGAATTACTACTCCAGCGGTCGAGTTATAATTCGAAACTGGCTTCGTCACAGCCCTACTCGACTCACAGGCGCATAAATCGTATGTAAAACCGGTAATTGCTNAGGCGCATAAATCGTATGTAAAAACGGTAATTGCTCATAAATACGGAACTGTTTCTAGAGGACACACTGACGCGGTTAAACTAGTGGACGGACAAATCGCCACGACGAACGGTACCGCTACGTTTACCGCCAAAATCGCGGATTTAGAAGTGCATTTTTCAGCGGTTATTTTAGACGACCTGTATTGCGACGTATTACTTGGCCATGATTTTCTGATTGATCAGAAAGTCGCCTGGGACTACTCAGCAGGAACAATACACTTAGGCACTAAGAAACGTACAACCGCTTGTTGGAAATCAGGCGCACGACACGCGATCCGCAAACCACATCTGACGCAGTTAGATATAACCGGCGACGTTATTAACACAGACGATGTGGAATTACGCAGCGGTTTTTAACGACACGGTGGGTCGCACAAAATTGATCGAACACGACATTCTATTGAAAGACCCGCTCCTATCGCACTAAAACCGTACCCCTACCCCCTACATAAGCAGGAGGTCATTGACGATACAGTAAACGACATGGAGGCGCAAGAGCTAATAGAACCGAGTGTATCGCCGTGGTCAGCACCGATCGTGCTGGCCAAGAAGAAGAACGGGACTTTTCGTTTATGTATAGATTATCGACTTAAAGTCGAGTTATTGGCAATGCTCTTTAAATCAAAAAGCTCGTAAGTTTACGGCATTTAGAACGAGAAGGGGCTTGTTTCAATTTCGTGTACTACCGTTTGGACTCAAAAATTCACCTATGACTTTTGTAAGACTTATGAATTAAGTACTTGAAGGATATCTAGATGATTTTGTCCAAGTTTACTTGGACGATATAATTATTTATTCAAGTAGTTTAGAAAAGCATTTAGAACATTTAGGCAAAGTTCTAGAACGATTAGAGTGACACGGGCTGACATGTCACTACGCCGAAACAATAGCGCCGCTGAAAAATCTACTAAGAAGGGGTACGAAATGGTTGTGGACGGAAGACCATCAAAGGGCTTTAGAACAGGTAAAAAAGGCCCTGTGTGAGTCCCCACGTCTGAGTCCTCCTGACTACGCCAAAACTTTCTGCCTTCAAACCGATGCGAGTGAAATGGGCGTGGGAGCAATACTCTTTCAACGCGGAGATGAACCGGGAGAGAGAAGAATCATATCCTACGCCAGTAAGAAACTTTCAGATATAATACCAATAAAGATTTGATGCACATGCTTTTAGTATCAAGTGATCCAATGAAATTATTTAAAAAAAAAAGTATAAATTAATTTTCTATTGATGTGCGAAATTTATTTGTCAATTCCGAATCGAACGTTGAAGATTAAATAAATAACCTAAACAATTCAATATTAGAAATTGAAATAAATGAAAGCTAATTGTAAATAAAAAATGTACGAATTGATTTAATCTTATTAGCCTTATGCACAGTTATTTTTGTCCGCCGCAAAAAAAATTATATTTTTGAAATCTAGACTAGTTGCTCTATAATACCTATGCATTGTGTTGTATTTATATATGGAACAATCTTTTTGTTCTAACTTATAGTTATAGTAGTTCAATAATAACGCAAAATGTAGTTAATAAAGATATAATCAATCAAAATAAAACATATAAAATATTGATACACTTAAAAACGTATAATTAAATAATACACCAAAATAAAAACTTAATGTCACAAACGTACCAAACGGAAAGAGATTACCTTCGGTACTCCCGAGGTCTTCTCTCTCTCACCTCTTCAATTCATTCTATTTCATCTTATATACTAACATATTTTCTTTTTCTTTTTATAAAATTCATATAGTAATCATTTTCGAAAATGTTTATAAATATTTACTTCCTGATAGTAACAATAATTTGGGAATTACAATTAATCTAAAAATTACAAAAGTGTTCTACTTCTAGGCTTACAAATAATAGACTATATTATATTTTTGTAATAATAGATCAAGAAATTCATAGTTAAACCAAACATTACAAAAATGCTTTGTTTTCAGTTTTACAAAATAATGACCTATATTACAATTGATACTTGGGTAAAATAGGGTAATTTTTAGTATTGTGCTTTTTAGTTTCAAAAACGCCTCAAAAAATGCTCTATTTTATTGAAACGATCATTTCTTAGTCAAAACAAATTTTTTTTAACTTGTTAGAAAACTTTACAACGAAAGACCTTCTTTATGTTGGAATAACCGTCATTTAACCATATCTATACTTCAAACCGCTATAAATAACGACCGGATTAACATGTGACCTTGAAATTTTATATTTTGTCTACGCAATATACTAGAATTGAGTTTTCATAATTATTTTAACATTATGAGTACATTTTAAAATGAGACTTATGAGCGCCTAAAATTCGATTTCAGACCACTGTGCGATCGCGAGCGTACTCTACAATCGGGGGATGAGGGACGGCCGCGCGGCTACCCTCCGTGAAACCCGAAGGGCCCTCGCTACCATGCCGGTGGTCCCGCTATCTGTGCCGGGGGAGGGTGGTGCCTCCTCTCCGCAGCGCCCTGTTACCGCTGGCGCAGTGGTGCAGCGACCGGCGGGCCGACGATCGTCCCGCTCCGACACCGTACACACGGGACGGAGCGGCCGACGTGGCGAGCACGTCTTCCGGGGCGGGCTCGGGCAGCCGACCGCCACCGGCCCACCCGGGCTACAGGAAGCTCACTCCCTCCGACGTATGTCGAAGAGAGCGCATCAACAGGGCTTTCAAGGAGAGGAAAGACCGGGAGAGAGAAGCGGCCAACCGTCCACCAGCTACACCGGCGCCTCCAATGCCCGCGCCAAGGACCCGTCCACCATCACTGTCGGAGATCGTGCGACACTCCTCCACAGCAATAAGCACCACAGCTGGACCGGCCCCCATGGAAGTCGAGGATGCCGTGGACGATTTGGGACGCGCCATGGACGGGTTCCTTGCAGGCTCTCCTTCTCCTCCCCGTTTCCATCGTGAAACCCCTCGTCCCGAGTAGTCGGGCGAGGAGTTTCCTTCTTTTTTTTTCCCCTTCGGTCCTGACGTCATCCATAGGTTACGGATGGCCGGACCGAATAGTCCATTACTTCTTGCCAACGAGACTGAAGGTTTCAGTCTAATATGGTAAGTGTTGAACGCAATATCAATGACCACACACACAAGGAACATGGCGGTAAGTCAACAATTGTTTATTACTTATAACTATTGTGTATGATGCGACAATTTGTCTACAAATATCGTTTCCGACGTTGACCTTAACTGGTTTGCCTTTTTCTTGTTTTTTTTTTTATTGCGGCGAGTGTGCTCATTACCGATATTACCGACGACAAAAGGGTAGTTACCCATTGTTACATACGTATAACAGTGTTCGAATTAAGGAAAATATCTAATATTATAAGAATCAACTATTGTCTTCCGACGTTGTTTCTTTGTTTTTACTGTTGTGTTTGTGTAAATATATATATACACATAGACATAAATATATAATATATATATATACCTCGAGTGCCGTACCATTTGGATACGCGTTAACATTTAATGAATAATATTGTTAAAAAATGAAAAAAATTATTCCTTTTTAAATTTCAACTTTTAAACTATGATTTGCTCATAAAAAATATTTTAAAAAACTTGCATTCATGGTAAAATGCTTTTTTGCCAAATTCAGAATTATACTTAAAATATTTCATTCATATATACACTATTCTTTTAAAATTACTCTGCTTTTTGTGTTAAATTTTTATAAAGTTAGAATTTTTAATTAATTGTATTTATTTTTCAGACGAAATAATGAAGTATATGGTGAAGAAAATGAATCTAGTGATAGTCAATCTGANAAGTATACGGTGAAGAAAATGAATCTAGTGATAGTCAATCTGATGTTGACAATATTGTAAGTTTTAATTCTGTGGATGATCTTTTTTTTTACAATTCATTTCTTTATATGAATACAAAAATTATATATTTATTTTTAATTTTTACTTATGATACGACCCTATTTGGGTACATATCTCATATGCCTATTAACAGTAACCCAACATTTTAATTAGTACATATCACATTAGAAAAAACTAATTAAAGTATAATGGATTCAAATAATAATGTTTATTAATAATAAAATAAAATAAAATAATAATCTATGGATTCAAGATATGTTGAGAATGTCCATCAGGGAGATGACAATGTGCTATAAACATCATGAGAATTATAATTTTTTAAATCACAATTAAATAATAATAATAATAAATAATATTAATTAGATGTTAAACATCCATATGGTAGGTCTCAACTGCTTGTTGTACTACATTTTCACAAACAGTTTTCTGTAAGGATGTGTTTATTAACATTATCATCGGGTCCCTGTGTATATCTATCTGTAATAAGCATGAATGCTGACCAAGTTGTTAAATGTTATTGACTAAACCAAGATTTGTGCACAAAATGTGACCGTATCACTTATTTAAATCCAATTTTTTAATTATTAGTTGATTTATTTTAGCTGGAAAGTGAAAAAGCATCAATAAAGCGTTTTCTAAATGCTAAATTTGATAAATTTAATGAAATAATTAATCAAGCATCAAAAAAAGTTGAGAAATTGAAAAAAACAGTTCTAAAAGTAAATATATTTTAAGTAAAAATAACTTAACCACTGGTTAATACATATTGTATTATTTTCACACAATAATACATTTTTTAATTAACATTTACTATAATTAAAAATATATATATATAGATTGTATTAGTTTTTAAATTAGTTCTAAAATCATGTTTTATAAACCTATATTTTTGTATTAAATCATATTAAAAAAATTTTTTCCGCAGCATAAACTCGCAAATAATGAATTAACAAGAAAGAATTTAGATTACGAAAATACTTTAAAAATACAACAAGGTGATTGTATAAGTATATATATTGTTATTAACTTACTTTATTTAATTTTACACCTGTTTAAGCAAAGTCGCAAGATATTCTTAGTATATAACATGAAATATACTGTGTCTTAATCTGGACTTATTTATCTGTATAAAATATATAAGTGAATAACCTATGAACTCCATTTATTTATTTTTTGGATGGAGTTCACGTAATGGGGTTTAAATTAATTTTGGGCTTATATATTACTATTGTATTAAATTAAACATTAGAAACATTGGTAACAATATCATGTCCATATGGTCATTGATTATTAAGTAATTATCAAAAGCAGTCACATATAAACATACATTTTTGTTTATAAAACATTACATTTTTTATATTATAACAATTATAATTCAAATCTCTAAGAAAAATATAATTTATAATGCATTGTCATGTGTGGTCTTAATTCATTTTTATAAATATTTTAGAAACATCTTCATCACGTTTTAAAAATAAATAAATCCTATTCCTTTTATTAAATATTTTGATAAGAAAAAATATTAATTAAAAAATAAAACACCTATGGATTTAAGACATTTTTGAAAAAATTAATTTATCTTATTTTTCCTAAACTTTCAATTGCATTAAGGCTAACATTAAATTACATTAAAAAGAGGTATTTATCAAATTATTATCATCTGTAATTCTATTTTCTAGATAAAAGTTTTAAGTTAAACTTTGTTAAGTCATTTAATAGCTTCAACATACTTTAATTATTATCTTTTTTTTTTTGAGAAGTTAATTTTTTTGTTTGAATTATTTTTCTAGATCAAATATCAAAAATTGAAGAAACGATCAAAGAAAAGGTTTATAGTGTTCTAGAAAGTGATTTTCAATGTTCAATTTGTAATGAATTAATGGTTAAGGTATTATTTTTACATTTAAATCCATTAATAGTGTGAATATAACACGTCATCATGTTAAAAGTTCTTAGCATATTATGTTACTTTGGTTAAAAAATGCATTATGGAATACTTTTTAATCAATTTTAAGAGTGTTAAATATTATAAAGTGATAGTAGAGATCTGAAAATTTTTTGAACTTTCTAATCCTAGAACTGTAAATAAAATTTCTGAAAAGTAAAGCTAAAATATTTTAACTAAAAAAATCATTTCTGATGAAAATTTATTTTTTATTAGTTGAAAAAGTAAACAAATGTGTTTAAAAATCTATTATAAAATTCATAAAGTAAAATCTAGTAAAGTCATTTAAAATGCTTTTCTTTAGGTAAATGTACATATTTTTATTTTGAACTAACAATTAATATGATTGCTAAACATATGAAGACACAAATTTTCAATTTAAAATTAAATTTGCTTAATCTTCTAAGATAAAATAAGGTTTTACAATTACTTCATTTACTTACATTTACATTACTTTACCATGATGTGTCACATTTTAAAGTAAATTTGTTTGTTTATGAAAATAAAATGCAATTTAGGTAAAATGAAAAATATTACTATGTCATTGTCTATATATTATTATTTTATAATTTAGTAACTTTTTTTATCCAAAATTTAAATAAGTTTTTAAATTTTGTTTTTGATAAATTAGCTTCTAAGAGACTGAAAAAAAAATCACATACTTCATAATTATACCAACAAAATTATTTTATTTTAGAACTTGGGTTTGAAGTTTAAATAAAACATATTTTATCTCAAAATTGTAGTAATACAAAAATAAACAAAAATGTTGTTTGGGGTATTTTATTTGACCAATGTTGGATATTTGGGGATTTGGTCAATTCAGGAGCAACGAGGTTCTATCGGGGTTGTAGAGTCCGAGGGTTTAGAATAGTAAAGACAAGTAGATATAAAAAGATTTTTATTAAGTTCCTCTCATAGAGGTATTAAAAATGACCTAACTGGTAAGTACCTGAAATAATACACTGAGGCAACGAAGAGGCGATGGCCAGCTCACGAATACCATGTAATGTGATTATGTACAAGGTACGAACTAGTCAGTAACAATTAATAAAATTTGAATATAAATATGTGACCTGTTGCTTTATCATTCTTTACTCAGATTATTAATTTTAAATAATTGGGTTAATATAAATTTACTTACTTCTTTTATATATCTTACGTTCAGATTTATATTTTTCCTTTTTAATAAATAAATAAAGTATTGACGCAAAAATAATTGTACTTGATATNGTAAAGTATTGACACAAAAATAATTGTACTTGATAACGCTTTAAAATATACCGACGAAAACACGGGGTTACGGCTAGTTTGTTCAAAATAAATCAGTTAAAAGAATTCTGAATTCCTTATTGAATCCAGATCTTCAAAAAGAAGAGAGAACTGAAGAAGGTCTATTAGAAAATCAGCGCCTTTTTATATTATTTTTAATTACCCCCATCATGGGTTGTTGCCGTCAGCGCTTTTAGTGATTTTCAGTTTATTGTATAAAATTTGAACATAACATGATAATTATTTTAAGAAAAGATTCATAGTATACAATAATCAATTTAACATGTATATACATATGTAATAGCTAGTGTACAAATGTGTATATGTTACGACAGATAAATTAATTATTTGTTTGTATACAATTGGTATTAAATATTGATAAATAGAATATAATTATATTATTAATTAAATATTAAATATTGATAAATGTAAGATGCGTAATGCAGAGCATTGTGCATATTACGACAAAATGTTGGTTCAAAAAAACTTGAATTTTACACATTTATAAATTAGATTAAAAAAATGATTTTGAATATTTCATTATCATTGGGAAATAAATGAAATTTAGTCATAAATTGTGAAAATGAATATTTTATATAAAATTTAATTTGTAAATTTGTTTTTTTTTTTTAGGCGTGTACAATTAATTGCAGCCATACATTTTGCGAAATTTGTTTAAATACTTGGTTGAGAGAAAGTAATGAGTGTCCTCTTTGTCGAACTTCAGTTCAAACCAAAACCCTATGCCTATCTATGGATAATTTTATTACTAATATTTGTAATCTTCTTGGGAACGCAATACAAGAACATCGGGAAAAAATACAACAAGAAAGTAAGTATATTTGAACATTTATTAACTTATATTTATTGTTATAACTATTTTTAGAATTGGCAGTTTATGTCCCACGAGTACCACAAATGGCTCGGAGAGGTCGTAGAAGAAGAGGTATACGTCGAAATATATAACCTGCACATGTGTCAATGAGAAATAGTGCAAAGAATTCATGAAGTAAATTTATTATTATTATTATGAGTATAATGTTCACCAAATCGTTTCCACTGGCACCAACACCGCCAGCGACGACGTTTCCTCCGAACGGTCCAGCATTACCAACATCAATGTCCACCGCGCGAACAATTTCAATCTACACGGTGCCGACTTCTATTGTTACAATTCAGGATAACTCGGCTACGGAACCTGACGTGTTGTGTACGCGATCCATACATACATATGCGTTGTAAGAAATATTTGAAAAAGTGAACGAATTAATACCGTCTCACATTCCATAACCACAATAGTTGTACAGTAAGGTTGTGTGTTTCTTAACTGTAAAATAAAATAAAGTTTCTTTACAATATAAAATTTATGTTACTGTAAATTAAGCTCTATAATGTCATTAAGTAATAGTGAGGTTTGTTATAAATGTAATCTTGGATTTCCCGAACTTGATTATCCTATCAAATGTGATGGCTGCAAATTGTCTCTACATAACAAGTGTTCTGATTTAGCAGTGAGTGAAATTAAATGTCTAACATTAAAAAATCGTAGTTTGAAATTCTTTTGTGTAGCTTGTAATAATGGTTTTAGTGAACTCCCCGAACTGAAATTAATTATTAACCGTTTATTTACTGAAGTAAACGATCTTAAAACTCAAAAAGACATGTTTATACATCAGAAAATTCTGAAGAGTTCATAATCAACGAAATAAGTGAGCGTAACATGAGAGCGTCAAATTTAATTCTATACAATGTGCCAGAGTCCAAGTCAGATAACATAACTGATAGAATTGTGCAAGACTCTAATTTGGTATGTAATGTTATCAGTTCAATAAGTAGTGGTGAAAATATTATTAAACCTTTAAAAGTTATCCGATTGGGTAACCGTGACCAGAATAATACTCGCCCGATAAAAGCTCTATTTGCTTCACCAACTGAAGCGTTTGATATCTTAAAATCTAAGAAAAAATTGTTATCATTACAACCGCCTTCTATTATTCGAATCAGGTCGGACCGCACGCTGCATCAAAGGATTTATATGAAAAAACTCCGCTGTGAATTGGAGACTCGTAAAAATAATGGCGAATCTGATCTAGTTATTAAATATGTGAAAGGAATACCGAAAATTGTTATACAAAATAACTGTTCAGTGAATCTCCGAAATGATAATTTTTTATAATTAATATTTTTTTTCAAAATGTTCGTGGTCTATTAACAAAGATAATTTTTTTACGAAATGCCTTATTAAATGTGAATTATGATATAGTTTGTTTAAATGAAACATGGTTAAATTATAATATTTTTGATGCGGAACTTGGTTTTAATAATTATAATTTATATAGAGATGATCGTAATTTGTCGTACGGTAAACTGCGTGGTGGTGGTGTGTTAATTGCAATAAATAAAAAAATATGTTGTGAATTATTAAAAGTTCCTCTTGTAACTGGAATCGAACAATTATTTTTAAAATTCACTGTAAATAAAATAAAAATAGTTTTAGGTTGTGTGTATATTCCACCTGATGCAACTATTGAAATGTATTCTAAACAATGTGATGTTATAGAATCTATATTTTTAACTATCCTGATTACCATTTTATTATTACTGGTGATTTTAATTTAAATAGCTACGATTGGTCTATCGACTCAAGTATTCAAGGTAATGTCTCTGGAGATATACTATATAATTCTTTTGTAAATCTTTTAAATTTAAAACAATGTAATTACATTAAAAACTCTTTAGGTCGTACTCTTGATTGTATATTTCTTAGTTCTGATGTAGAACTTACTTCCATTGTTCATTCATCTGAATCCCTTGTTCCAATAATTGATGATTTTCATCCTCCTTTAGAGTTAAATATAAAATTTACTGATCCTTTTTACAAAATTCTTATGAACTTCCACTAGTGTATAATTTCAAAAATTGTGATTTCAATAAAATTTCTCTTTTTCTATCTAACATCGATTTTGAACTTAATCTAGACAATACTTTAACTTTTGAGGCTCAAATAAATAAATTTTATGAAATAATTTATCATACATTCTCTTTATTTATACCCAAATCAAAAATATTTAATAATTTNACATTCTCTTTATTTATACCCAAAACAAAAATATTTAATAATTTATCACCTGTTTGGGCAAGTGCTGAACTTAGAAAACTCATTATTGATAAGAAATGTGCTCATAAAAAATTTAAACTTAGTCATTCTTATCAAGATTATCTTATTGTCTCTTATCTCCGCAAGAAATGCAAAAAATTAATATCTCTCTCCCACACACAATTTATCACAAATTTAGAAAACGGAATCCAAACAAATATTAAACCTTTTTGGAAATATATTAACTCACTGAAAAAAACTAATAATGTAGTACCAGATTGCATTAAATATAAAAACCACTCATCTTCAAACATCTATAAAACAGCTCAATTATTTATCAACTACTTTTCCAGTGTTTATGTAACTGACTCAAGAATCTTTAATGAAGAGTCCCAAGAAAATTTAAATACGTCTTTAATGAATAATATAAATGTTAATTTAAGCTCCATGTCTATTGATCAAAATGAAATTCAAGAGTTATTAAATAATTTAGATATGAATGCGAGTACGGGACCTGATGGTGTACCATCAATATTTCTAAAATTGTGTAGTTTTGTATTAATTAAGCCACTTCATTTAATTTTTAATAGATCTTTAAATTTAGGTTATTTTCCCAATATATGGAAAAAATCTTTTATCACTCCAGTACACCAATCAGGAGATAAGCATAATGTTTCAAATTATAGACCAATTTCTAAATTATCTCATATACCTAAAATATTTGAAGTGATTATAACAAATAAATTAACTAAACTAATGTCGCCATATTTCTGTATAAATCAACATGGATTTAGATCTAAAATGTCAATTTCAACAAATTTATTACTTTTTCAGTCGAAGATACTTGATTCTCTTAATGATTATGTCCAATTAGACTCAATATACACCGATTTCCAGAAAGCTTTTGATAAAGTAAATCATAGCCTATTTTTAAATAAATTAGTTTCTTTCGGAATCCACGGTAGTTTTTTGGGTTGGATAAAATCCTATATTAGTTCACGTACACAAGCAGTAAAATTATCCTTTCATGTTTCAAATAATTTTTTAGTTAATTCTGGAGTGCCTCATGGTTCACATCTGGGCCCTCTCCTATTTATATTATTTATAAATGACCTCCCTGCAATATTTGATAGCTCAGTTGAAGTTCTTTTATTTGCTGATGATGCTAAGATTTTCTCAAAAATTAGTCTCTAGACGATACATTAAAATTACAATCGAACTTAGATAATTTTGCAAATTGGAGCCATCAAAATCGCCTACCATTAAATATAAGTAAATGTAATGTTATTACTTTTTCTAGAATGATAATGAAATCAAGTGTAATTATAAAATAGATAACTGCATTATAACGCGTGTAAATTCTGTTAGAGACCTAGGCATTGTTATTGAAAGTAAATTGTCTTTTTCAATTCATAATAATACCATTATTAAAAAAGCCTTTAAAATGTTAGGGTTTTTAAATAGAAGTACGAATAATTTTAAAAACTTTAATACATTCTGTTGCGTACGAGGCAGCTAGACCGTTGGACGGCTAGTTATGCACCGCACTAGAATGCCGTTTTACCTTAAGTCTGTTTAATAAAACGTTAATATTGATGCAGTAGTGGGTCACCTAGGAGATGACGGCTAACTATAAATCCAATAAGTAAACGAGAGTAGACAATAATTAAATAACAAATAATCACATATATTAGAAATTCCTCAGAGAGTATCTTAAATTTAAGGGGTAACGGGGGGGCCCTTAAATACTAGAGGCCGGCGAAGCGGCATAAAACATAGTTAATCTCAATTAGAACAAACAATAATTAACATTAAAAATAATATAAAACTCAGCTGTATAGATGACGTTGTTGATGTTGATGAGTGGACTGTATGAGATCTTGTGGTAATGGTGTCGAACATCTGAGTATGATGAGTCAGAGTGTAAATCCAGGTACGTAATGGCAGATGAGAACAGAATACAGCAATGATAATGTTTAGTGATGGTCAGGGCCCAATCACTAGTGGCGTGCAAGGGCACGTTAACTTTGAGCACAAGGGTGCAATAAACAAATAATAAGAAACTATGGCGTACAACGGCCGAACAATTTACTATTCAAGCGAAGGCGCTTGCAACAGAAAAAAAAGTCACACAAAAAACAATTGACTGACTGAATTACGACAATGTACTGTCCATGGATGAAAAACGACACGGAGGTCATCGATTTGCTGTGATGGGTGGGCAAGGGGGTGAGTAAAGCAAGATGCTGGTGATCAGCTGTCCCACCAAATAATATAATCAATGATCTTTATAACAACTGGTCAACTAGATCTTTCTAAAGGCGTTCTGTACCAAACATATTCAAAACATTATTCTTTTCTTTAGTCAGACCTCACCTCGAATTTGGTTCTATAGTCTGGTCTCCAAGTTATTCGTCATATAAAACGGAAATTGAAAATGTTCAGTATAAATTTTTAAAATTTTTGTGTTATAAATTGAATAAACCTATAATAACCAATTTGCATAACTCGGTTTTTGGATTTACTAGTTGTGAACAAAGAAGAAATGTAGCAGATATTATGTTCATATTTGATTTACTAAACAATCTTAATGATTCCCCGGAATTGTTATCTATGATTGGTTTTATAACACCAAATCATTGTTTAAGAACATCGAATTTGTTTCATATACCATTTTATAAAAATAACTACAGTTCCGCATCTTTTTTTCCTAGAGCCCTCTCATTATGTAACGTTATAGCTGATCACATAGATTTCTTTTTTATGTCACGAGATTTTTTCAAACAAAATGTATATATAGGTTTAAATCTAGTACTAAATTAAATATTGTGTTCTTATTATAAGATAAATGTATTATTAGATTAAATTTTTGAAAATTGTTGTATTTCGTTTGCAAAATTCATAATATAATATGATATTAAGCTAATTATTTGTTTTTAATTGATTTATGTCTTACACTATTTAATTATTAATTATTGATAACACATTTTATTGTATTCATAATTTATTCTATATTATTATTATTATCATTATTACCTATATGTTGTTGACTCATAATTGTCATNTATCATTATTAACTATTTGTTGTTGACTCATAATTGTCATGTAAACTTTATACTTATTGTATTATAAATATTACTAAAGGGTACTGTAGTAATTAGATGAGGAAGTATTGAATTATGTCGATTTTAGTATAATATAAGCTTTACAATAGTAGTAAGCAATTTTTGAACTCTTAAGCAATATAATAATTCCATATAAAAGGGAAATGCAGGGTAAGCAAATTAATAATGGTGGGAAAAAGAATATAAAAGGGAAACATGAAAAGTATAGGGGGACGATACTGGGCGAGACGAGACTGGACGTTTTGGTCGAAGAAACGTCGAGTTACGGGTTAGGTCGTTGGTGTAAGAATAACTTTATATTTTTGTAAGATTTAATTAATTTTTGTGTTAAATTTTTATATTATATTTGACTTTGTGTTTAATACATTTCGTAAATAAAATAACTATTTAAAAATCTGGGCTTAGCGCAAATATTTTATATTCACCGTGTTCTTGGAATTTGTGTGTGTGTGCGGCTAGAGTCTAGGTTGGACTGCTGGTCCTTTAGTCAATCTTAATAATTAGTGTACGAGCTGGCTAGTGTTTGGGCTTAACCGTCCTTTAGTGGGTATAGTAAAAAGGTAGTTGTGCTGGTGGCTGACAAGGAGCCACCCTTCAGTCTGCTACTTTTGAGCTAGACTGTGCTGACGGGTCTAAACTCTACCCCTTTAGTAGTCCACTAATTAGAGAGATTGGGGCTGATCAGTTTATCCAACGGTAAGACTCAAGAAGAGCTCGAACGACGAACTCGTCGTCGATATATATATATATATATAAGAAAATAAATTAATTTGTGTTAAACTTTTGTGTCTACGTTGGGGCACTACCGACGTACGACAGTACCTACCCGTTAAAATATATATAAATATAAATATAAATATACGCGTTGTAAGAAATATTTGAAAAAGTGAACGAATTAATACCGTCTCACATTCCATAACCGTTACTACGATTCTTAAATTAATTATAAAAATGTATTACGTCGGCCTTATTATGTTGCTCCGTGACATTGACCTTAAAGGGAAAAGCAAGATCATCGAAGACAATTGTAGCGATTACTGTTAACTATTATGATTATTACTTCTTACAGACGGTACGGCGTTCCGGTTGAACACCCTGCGCACAGTACTGCTACTAACAAACTGTAGCCAATCAAATGTCCATCAGACTGAAGGAGACGTCGAATCGAAAACAATTAATTAACGTGTACATTAGGGTGTCCCTTATTTTGAAAATTTTGGAAATTCTTCGGGCTCACCCCCCAAATTTGTGTGTATACATATAAAAATTGGCTACAAAAAATTTCAGGCCGATCAGATAAGTTTAACCCGTGCCGACTTGGGGTTGAAAATCGGCCAAAAGGGGTACTTTTTTAGTTTTTAGCAATTAACTCGTAAATTAGTGCTCTCACAAAAAAAAATATAAAAACTAAATTGTAGATCTAATTGTTTTGTATAAATTAAGTTCTTACAGTTTTTCTTTTAAATCCATTAGTTTTCTAGAAAAATGTCAAAGTACATAATATTTCGTAAAATTGCCGAAATTAGCATATTTACGAATATTTCATCATATATGACGAACCATATGTGATACGACCTAATATTTCATACAAAAATTGTTTAAAATTAAATTTTACGAAATAAAAGTAATAAGTACAAATTTCATTGAATCGATCGTTTTATTGCTATAGCTGAAATAACTCGATCATATTACGATTTTTACTAAATATATGAATTTTAATGCTTAATTTAAATATATTTCATTTATATTGTAAATTGATGCAAATCTTTAGATAGTGTTTAATTTTAAAAAAATGATGGATTATTCCAAAAGCTACATGATCTGCTAGTTCCTTATTAATATCCTAATTAAGATAAAGTATGTCGAATGAAAAAGGGATTATTAAAAAATATTATAAAGTTAAAAATGTAAAAAATGAAATCGAGAATTTTCACACAATAATAGCATTTGGTAGCCATTTTCACCGTGAAGACAAAATGAAGTCTGAAATTTTTCTTTTCCATGATAAAGTATATTACATTATCTTTAATTTAAGGTATATATAAAAGTGTCAGACTTTCCCGAACATTTTCAAAAGTTAAGTTGAAAAAGTTAATTTTTTGTAAAAAAGTTGTCATTTTAAATTCCCTACTATAGGCAGGTAAAAAGTCAAATATATAAAAAATATACCAAATGATAGGTAAAGACATAATGCATCTATATAAAAAAATATTATATTGATATGTTCATTTTTAAAAAAGTTATAGCATTATAAAGTTAAAAATATGAAAAAGAATTTTTTTACAAAAATCTTTTTTTTTTTATTAATTTTGATGACTGTTATCATCATGAAAACAAAATAAAGTCCGAATTTTTTTTTTTTTAATATTAAAGTATATTATATAAGCTTTAATTTAAGATATATATAAAAGTGTCAGTATTTCCGGAACACTTTCAAAAGTTAAGTTGAAAAAGTTCTACTTTCTATATGTATTTTTTTGATTTGAACTTTCCCCGTATATAGGGAAATGGTCCGATTTAAAAAAAAAATATGTCGAATGAAAGATGTATATAAATACTACTTCTCATGAAAAATTGTATTGATCCATACATTTTTCATAAAGTTATAGCATAATAAAATTAAAAATGTAAAATACAAAATCGAGAATTTTCACACAAAAATATCATTTGGTAGCCATTTTCACCATGAAGACAAAATAAAGTCCGAAATTTTTTTTTCCATGATAAAGTATATTATATTAGCTTTAATTTGAGATATATATAAAAGTATCAGACTTTCCGGAACATTTTCAAAAGTCAAGTTGAAAATATTTGTTGTCAAAAAGTTGTCATTTTAAATCCCCCCTTATGGGCAGGTAAAGGGTCACATATAAAAAAAAAAATACCAAATAAAAGGTAATGATATCATGCATCTATATAAAAAAATATTATATTGATATATTTATTTTTAAAAAAGTTATGGCATATTTTTAAGGGTAATGTCTTCGACTAGATACGATTTGTGATCTTTTGACGTATCATTGAAAGAAATCGGTTCGGTGAGAGCTGAGAAAAAGTGGTAACAGACACAAAAAAAAACACATCTTAGTAAAACCAATACCTTCTCAGCTTCGCATCGAAGCTAAAAATTTGTCCCGACACCTTTTCTTCATTTTTATGTAAAAATCACTGTATAACATGAAATATTTTAATACTTAAAACTACCATAACTTTTTGAAAAATTAAAAAATTAAAATAATTTTTTTATATTCAATTTTTAGATATTTATCTTTCATTTAATATAATTTTTTTAAAAATCTGACTCTAACCCTTATATATACAAATATATTTGTATATGTAAGCAAATACATATATAGTTAAATATATTCTGATACATAACTGAACGGTTAATATTGTATTTATTATAATATAATATTATACATCATACATTAATAAGTTTAACTGTGCATAAATAGTAAAAATATCTGATTAAAATAAGGAAATAATAGTCAAGGCGAATTTGAAGTGATGTTATATTATTCTGTACGTGTCTAAAAAATACGGTTATTTAGTTATTTTGTGGCAAGGTATGTATTTTTTTCATTAAAATTTAATATTATGCCTATCAATTATTCTGTATATACATTGCTAAAAAAAAAAATTCTTATTTAAATATTTTCCGAAAAGCATTCATTCGCGCCTTTTAAAATATTACCTGATGAGTAAATGGCATAGGCGTATTTAGGGATTTAAAATTTGTACTGTATCTACTAGAGATGGGTAGTTCGTGAGTGAGTCAACTGAAAGAGTTGACTCTTTTAGGTGAACTGAGTGAGTTGAATCAGTGTGCCATAGTACTGTGACTCAATGACTCAGTGTGAACTACTAAGAATTGANCAAATGAACTATTCACTTAGATAAACTATTCTGAACTGTATCAGTACCTGTAACTTAACAGTTCACAGTTCGAAAATAATTGGTAGCAATGTATAAATGAAATAGTTCGCAAACTTCTTTAAAAATTCTCTGTGGTTCGTTGTTCAAAATCTGTAAATGGTTAATAGCTGTTTACAATTAGATAACAAATAAATTATATTGTGAAAATGTTACACGGTTTTTAACAATTTAACATTAAAATAAATTCATACTATGTACAAATATTAGATCAGATTTCTGATTTAACTTAGGACTACTGGTCAATATATCCACCTTAGATTAGGTGATAATGATAATATGAGCCATGAGGGTATTGATAATAATTTTTTCTTAGTTTATGATGATCAGGTTAAGGTTAAGGTTAGTTTATAACTTAATTGTCCATAAGTAGTGAGAACTACTACTGAACTGTGTACTGCTGTACAAATAGTGATAAAATGAATAGTTCATTGCCAAACAATATCAGCATGATCAATAAAATTAGTGAACTTAAGAATAGTTCATATGAACTATTCACCTGAATGAACTATGAACTAACGAACTATTCACAGAAATGAACTAAACTTTCCATCTCTACTATGTGTAGACAATTTTTTTATTCTATCTTGGAAAGCACATTTTTAACTTAAAATTGTAACCTCTTTGGTGATAACCGTAGCTCATCGATGGTATTGTTATCACAGTAGTAATGAATAACGAGTAAACGTAGTTAGACGAGTGTGAGTTCTAGCCTACTGGTATCATCCATAATTTCCGTTTTCTGTTTAATGTGTTATCCGGTCATTGCTCTTGTTCGTTAGTATTTGACTATTAATTTAGTTACTTTTGTGAAAAGTTTAAGTTCCATCTAAATCAATAGTAATTTTACATTTATATTTATTAATACCATGACTTCAACAAACTTTAATGTCGGAATCGGTGATATTAAGCGGAATACTAGCAAGTATGTGAAAAACACGTTTATATAACCATATAATTTTTTTTTTTATTTAAATTTTTTTTCTTATACTAATTTAATTTTTATACTAATTGTTAACATACCATTTGTTTTTTTGAAAAACTTTACTTTTTCTTCGTATTCTATCATGATATTTTCATATTATCAAAATAATATTTCCCGCTGAAAGGAACAATAGGGTTGTTACCGTTCATACTCCATTTTGTCCAATCAGCTTAAATGTTCAACTATTGCATAGTCATCATTATTTTATTGCATTAAATATTATTTTCAAAAGTTATTACTTTTTATTATGTCATTTATTGCAATTTTCGATTACAAATATTGACATTTTATTTGTATACTTGTTTTTATCGAGATTAATATATGTCAAATTTTGTGAAGTTTTTTATTTGTACACAGTGGTTATTTCAACACAAGCCATTGGAATTTCTTTTGGTATAATATACTTATGAATTTTTCTTAACTTATGATAATATTAGTTTTTAGCTTCAATGAGAAGCTGAGATTTACTAAATATTTTTTTTTATGTAAAAACCCTTAAGTATTTCTCTTTTATTTTATATAAATTTTTAGAAACTTGAATCTTTACCTGCCCACAGAAGTAGATTCAAAATAACAACTTTTTCACAAAAGTCAATTTTTTTAACTTAACTTTTGAAAATATTCCAGAAATACTGCAACTTTTTAACATAAGTTAAATTTAATTTTATGTTACGTACTATACATTAAAAAAAAAATTTATCCGTACAACTTATCTTCTAAGTATAAATTGCTGTCAAAGTTAAAAAACATGCTATTTCTATGTTAAAATTTTCGTTTTTATGTTATTAATTTTAAATAGCTATAACTTTGTGAAAAATGTACAGATCAACACAAATTTTTGTTCCTAAATACTTTATATGTACCCCTTTCATCCTACATACTTTATTTTATATCAATTTATATACAATTTCCTCCCAATACTGGGAGTGTTCAAAACTTGAATCATACGTATAAAAAGTAGAACTTTTTCTTAATTTTTGATAATATTCCAAAATACTGTGTCCTTTAAACATATGTTAAATTAAAGCTTTTGTTACATGCTTTAAGTTTAAAATAAAATTTGTCCCAACGACCTATCTTTGTATGCAAATGACTGTTGAAGTTGAGCAAATTTATTAAATATTTATTAATATATTACAATTATACATCATAAGAGTTCATTTTCCTTTTGGAATAATCCACCAATTTCTTAAAATTAAACACTGTCTACAGATTTGCATCGAAACGTTTTTTATGATATTGTGATTTTAATCACTGTCAGATATTATATATACTTGTTCTAACCATGCCATGTCATAGTATAACATACATTTTAGTTTTTGATTTATAAGTGATTTAATATTTTTTATATTCATCTCTCATCTCTTATAAGGGTCCAATTTTATTTATTTAATTTTTTTATGACATATTTAACAGGCTTATAAAATTGAAAATGACTCATCGATAATAACTTTTGGACCAGTATTTCAGAAGTTAATAACTTTATACCTTTGGGAGAGGTGTGAGGCAAAATTATTAAAATAGCTGTACCTTCATCTCATATTTAGTCAGTACTTTAATTGTTAATAACTCCAAAAATATGGGTTCATAAGTTGTTATCGACCAGTCATTTTCTTAATTACATCAATATTTATTTTATAACCTTAAGTTAATTATGTATGTTACTATTTAAAAAATGAATTTAATATTCCTATAAGACATATGCGATAAACATCGCACAAGATTTCAAGATGTTTTTTATTATGTCTACCTTATTAATATTCAACTTTTAGTCTATCAATATGTTAAATGATTTCTTATTATAATATAATTTGAGGTATAATGTAGCTGGAAAATTCCTTTATTTTTTACCAGAGAAAATATCCCAAAAATTGTCAGTTCTGTTTTTTTTTAAAACATTGGAATTATTCATTCTGTTAAATGAATATAAAATGCTTAGATCAATATGACATTTTTTTAGGTAATCTTCTAGATAATAATCTTTTTTTAAAAAATTGACTAATATCAAAATTCAAATTGAAGTTTGAGTATAACAATAAACCTTGTCAAAAAGTTTGCCTATTATAACAACATTCTGAAAATCTTGATTTTTTTTAAAAGATATTTTAAAAAAGATTATTATTTATACAATGTGATTTAAGTTTAAAAAAAAAGTATTTCATTTATTTGTCTTCTAGGTGTTTCTATTAATTAAGTATATAATAATTTAGTTGTATAATTATAATAGAAGTGCAATGTCTTAAAACAACAAAAATATGTGAATCCTCGGCAATATGCGAAGTTGCCACATTCACACCCTTCAATGAATGTCTATTTGTTAACTTCCTGTATAACTGCTACAGATATAGTAATAATAATTAATAAAGTTTCTGGTATTTACAACAAAATTATCATACTTGAAAATTTAAATGTTTAAACTATTTTAATTTAAAGCTGCCTAAAATCTTGTGTATAATCTTTAACACCAACAGTATTGAATAAATAACGGAATTTTTATCTATTTTTAAAAACTAATTTCTATATTTCTGTTTATTGAAAAAACTCCAAAAATTTTTAATGTTACATCAAATTCTATCTTTAGTATATATAAACTAAAAAAAAAAATGTTTTCGATGTAGATTACTATAATAGCAAATCAATAAATTTTTTTAACTTTATATTAAGTTATTGTCTAAAAATAATCAAAGGTATCTCCTTACAGATAAAAATTCTGTACAAATTTACATTGGTGAATTTTAAAATAATTTTATTTATTTTAATTTAATATTATAATTTTTATTAATATATATATCAAATAATTTAACCATAGTGATGAAATGACATTTCTATGATATAAAATAGAATTTATGATTAAAAATTATGTATTAGCTCTACCTGAATGGTTAATTATTGATTGAAACATTTGATTTTTTTCTAACATAAATTATTTTAATTTAGTTGTAATAATTTAAAAACTATTATGATGATAGTTACTACATGAAAATATTTATGAAATATTAAATATAATTAGCTCTATCTGAAGAGTGAAACCTAACTTGAGAGTAAAAATGGTTTCAACTTTTAATACAAAATATAATAGGATAAAGTTTCAATTTTGTTTTTATTTAATATGTAAAAACTTATTTTCTTACATAAAAAAAACCTTAATTACTGTTATTGTTTCATCCAAACTTTATTTTAATTGTGCTTTACATATTTGTCAATATATTAGAAAATTTGAATAGCTGTTTAGAGTCGCATTGGTTAAACTTTTGTTTTTATATTTAATGAAGTTACTATTATGAACTCAACTGGTGTATTTTCAAAATTATATCAAAACATCTACGAATTTTGAAATAATTATGTTCTGTTGATTTTTAGAAGTTATTTATATTATAATTATAAATATAATATAAATAACTTCTTTATTTTATTTTTTAACTAATAATTATTAGTTAAAAAATAAAATAAAAATAGTAGTGTTAAAGTATTTTAATTTTAATTATACTTGTTATATTATTACTTAAAATTAATATACTTTGGACTTGGAAGTAGTTATTTTTTATAAGTCTTCCATATTACATTTTCCTGAGAAAGCATTTTATGTAACAGTAGTTTTCTTCTTTGTTTGGTAAGCACCGTTACGAAGTGGTAATATTATTTTGAGTACATAGAATGTCATTATAAAGAGATAATGAAAATGCACTTATCATCATGGGAAACATGAACCATGGTTAATGGGCCTGTTGTCCTGATATAGAGGACTCTATAATCATTGTATATAGTCTAATAACTCGATGTATAACTATAAATTAATCCCCTTTCTGATAATATAATTTACCTTTTTTGTGAATTATAGTGTACTTTTAGTATTAAAAATAAAGAAATATAATTTTTTATTCATTACATTTTAATATTCATTGAACTTTTTTTTTTTAATAAATTAAAATATAGAAGTACGATTATTAGCTAATTATTTTTTATTTTAGTGATGTTTAATTTAAACTGGTCAATTATTTATGAAAAGAGAAAGTTTAATAATTTCTAAAATTATTATCTGTGTAAAACGCTATATTTTCTAGTCAAAATTGTTTTCCTTAACTCCAATGTTATAGATTGAATTAAAATGATATTATTTGTATATAGTAGCCTAGGTGTTGAGGACAAAAAACTATGTGATGACTGATGACCGTTCCGGTTTAGTTTTGATTGTTCCGCTGCATTCCCGTGTCTAATAATGTTTTTGAAAAAAGTGAATAAAAAACGTCATTGAAAATCTACACTGTAATTTTATAATCTTGTCTAATTTTAACAAATCTATGACAAACGAGAATTTGTGTTAATGTTAATTTTTTTAAGATACGTATGTTATTTTAAAGCTAAATGAATATATGTATGCACCCCGAAATTTAAGAAGTAATCTAAAAAAGTATTAGAACATTTCAATTTTATTTTATATTCAAGGAATACATATTATAAATAACTTACGATAACCAAGACAACTGTTGTCTAAGTTTTTAATTGAAAACTATATTTTGAAAGTAACACATCGACAAATAATTTTTTAGATATTCTATTAGGTATAGTCAAGGCTAGGCATTAACGATTTAATAACTTTTTAGCTTAACGGAACTATTTAGATTTTATTTAATTTCTTTTGTTCAATGTTATGAGATAACGTCAACTTAATTTTTAATTTATAAAAATAAAACTTATAAAAAAAGCTCTATAATATACTTTAACTTAGAATCCGAGTTGGTGGAAGTGCCATACTATGAAATTTCTACCAGTCATGACCAAATTACTAAAATATGTCAATTAATATTTTTATCCACTGACCTCTTCAATTGTAAAACCGTCAAATTATAGTTTTTTATTAGTTGAGTACAATTACATATGTAACCTTTTCATATATTCCACGAATTAGAAGAAAGCTTAGAATATGTATGAATACTAAAACA